ATGAACATGGAGGACATTATGCTAAGTGAAATTAGTCAAAAACAAAAAGGACAAATATTGTATGAGACCACTATTATAAAAAAAATCAACAATAAGTTTTCACGTGGAAAAAAACATTCTTTGATGGTTACAAAGGATGGAAAGGAGAGGAAGGAAAGTCAGGCTAGAGCACAGGCAAGTGATAGTTTGGGTGAAGGGGAATGGAATACACAATAGGAAGGAGGTTAGAAAAAATGATGGAGGCAGGCAGGCGAATACACTGGGTAGTTTGCAAGAGTTAAAAGCAACAGATGCAAACACTGTTAGATTCAAAATCCTACAACAGTGGGGGATTGGGGATTCTACAAGTGAATGCTTGGATATACACACAGGCTGAACAGATAGGAGACATATATATATATATGTTTAAAAGAGGGTATTTGTATATTTACTTTTACTGCAAATATATCCATGAATATGGTGGGGCAAACAGAGGACAAAATTATGACAACTTCTTAAATATAACCAAATACTTTGAAGGAATACGGTACTGGGCTTTGGGGGAGTCGGGGGTGGGGGGTGGGTGTCACAATAGTTGCAGGGGACAAAATGATCAATTAGCATATCATAGTTCCCAAAGACAAGGTTCTACATTCTAATTTGGTAAGAAGCAAAGGTCTTCAAAGCGTTGAACAACCATCTAAGGTGCCACTACTGATCTCTCCCTATCCAGAGGAAAGAAGAGTGATGGCAGGTGAAAAGACACATGGAAACGCTTAGACTAAGGGACCATGAGAACATCGGTCCCCATAATCCTGGGACCAGAAGAACTGTGTGATACCTGGCTACCAGTACCAGCAGCTCTGCAAAAAATCACACTAGAAAGGCCTAAAAAGAGAGGGAGAAACCTGTCAATCAAAATCCTAAAGGAGACCTGGCTTACTGGTCAGAGTCTGGTGGGACCCCCCCAAGATTGTGCTCCTTAGGGTCTGGACTTAAACTCACTACTGCGATAGAAAAGTCAACCATTTAAAACGAGATGGGGAGCATTTACCCAAAGACAAACGGCTAGGAAAGGAGAAGAAAAGGACACATAAAACAGGGTAGTTGTGGACTAAGGGAGGGTACATTAAGCGGCCTGGGATGAATGAGTGGAATCAAAATGTGTATGAATTGCTGAGTGTTTAAGTATGATCTGCAGGAGGGGAGTAGAAAGATCCCCAGGGAATGATGAGGGTGGACATTGGAGACAGGGCATGGTGCCCCAACAGGCTAGACTGGAAAACACAAGTTTTTCTT